GGTTGATGTGTGTGTGTCTGGGCCCCAAGAACAGGGGCGCCCCGCTGTCGGCTCAGCGGCTGGCGCACTGGGTTGCCACGGCTGTGCGGCGGGCGTATCAGGCTCAGGGTCTGGCCCCCCCGGTGGGCTTCAGGTCGCACTCCACGGCCCTCCTCAGGGGGGCTTCGGTCGAGGACGTCTGCCGTGCGGCTTCTTGGGCGTCGTCCTCTTCTTTCGTCCGGTCTAACCTTTTGGATGTGTCGGACCGGTCGGTGGCCCATTCCGTGCTTAGTGCAGCGGACTGAGTTGAAACCATTATGTTTCCCCTCTTAGGGGCCGACGGTTGACTTTCCGCCCTGGTTCAGGAGCTCTTGGGAGAGGCGTCCTACAGGTGCGGTACTTATATGTGTGCTTTTGGTCAGTCAGGTAGTCCACGTCAGGAGCTCTTGGGAGAGGCGTCCTGGGACTACGAGTGACCTTCGGTCTGTGTTACTTGGGGGTGTCCTTGGGAGGAGTGGCCCTGTAACACGCAATTGCTTCTTCTGCCCTGAGTCCTCTCACTGTGTGAGGGTCTTGCTCGGGCGGAGCTCCAATCACTCTTCGCTGGCCTGCTGGGAGTACATGTTCCTACGGCCTCCGCGTTGTGTCCCACTAGCGAAGTCCTAAGGGACGTAGCACCATGACGTAGAATTAATAGTTACCTGTGTAACTTAAGTTCTACGAATAGGTGCGTAGTCCCTTAGCTACGAGCCCATCAGGCCAGCCCGGCTTGGCAGAGTTCAAGAGGGGGCGCGGCTATGGAGCAGGGGCTTTTATAGAGGAGGGTCGCTAGTGATTGAAGCATTTTTTGTTTGATCTCTCTGGCCTATTCGTAGAACTTAAGTTACACAGGTAACTATTAATTCTTAGATCACCGTTGTTTTAAGCTCCCGCAGACCTTAATCCTCCATGCGTCTCTTCTCTTCACACCGCGTTTGTAAAACTATATATTATAATAGATCCATGGTAAAACTCAGTGCAGTGCAGCCTCTGTGCAGCGGGTGCTGCATCTGAACCATAGACTGTATATATTAACGGACAGAGTCACGCCTATCTCCGCCGTTCTAACTAATGGGCCAAAAAATGTGCTCTACTGGAGCAATCCAAAATGGCCGCGAGTGGTCCCGCCCACAAAAAAATTCTGAAAAAACGCATCTGCACATGCGTCAGCCGGCGCAACTCCATTCATTTGAACGAGAGACTTCAAAAATTCACAGCAAGTAAACTAGAGTGGACCAAAAAAATTCACCCCCCTCAGCATTGACACACATGTGGAACGGAGCTTTGGGCCAAGAGCCAACTTTTGGTCCATCCTGTAAAGTTGTTTTTGAGGGGTCTGCTAATGCTATATGTTAGCATTGGCTAATTCTACTTCTGGTTCCACCCCCATCGGCCCGGGGTGGTATTGCAAGCATGTCAGCGCACGTCATTTTGGCCACTTTTGAGCTGGGACCCTCCCCCACTGGTCTGAACGCGGTCTTGTTTACAAGTTGTCTCCACACGATTGTCAAGTGCCCGAGATGTTTGGAGAGATCCGGTCATTTATCAAACTAAGGTATTCTTTCCTTGGCAGTCCGGTGAATGACTGAGAGTTGAGGAGCTCTGTCTTTGACAGTGCTCCTCAACTGAAAGGCCACCGTACTTTAATAGACTGCAATATAAGATCTCAACGCTAGATGGCACTAAATATTACAGTGTACCTTTAACAAAAGTAACAAATCTATTGCAAGAAGCAGGCATTGGACATAACACACATTGAAATATGGGATTGTTGTATTCCCACACCCAACCACAAGGTGGCAAGCAGGAATTGCCTGAGACACCAAAGGGGACCCATTATAGAGTTGCACTGGAATTCCGCTAGCTACTTTCTCCTCTTCAGAACAAAAACAATGGCGAACAAAGCTGTTTAAGATCAATAAAGACATTCTCTGAACTCATTAAATCTGTATTCTAGGTGTAAGTTTATTTGACAGTACTATGGAGTCATTGTTTCATAACTCATTTCAACTGTGAATAAAGACACAGTTCTAGTTGAAAACAGATGGTTATTATAAATTAAATAATTAATTGTATCTGTGCACAAACAAGCAAAAAAATAATTGATACAATTCTGAGACCAAACTATTTTCAAGTGCTGGATGAATGCAACAAGGTACAGAGGCAATGACTATGTACCAGTGGGGGCGGGTCACGGCTCAAAAGTGGCCAAAATGACGTGCGCTGACATGCTTGCAAACCACCCCGGGATGATGGGAGTGGACCCGGATTAAGAATTAGACAATTCTAACATATAGCATTAACTGACCTCTTGAAAACGTCTTTACAGGATGGTCCAAAAGTTGGCTCTTGGCCCAAAGCTCCGTTCCCCATGTGTGTCAATGCTGAGGGGGGTGGATTTTTTTGGACCACTCTAGTTTACTTGCTGTGAATTTTTGAAGTCACTCGTTTAAATGAATGGGGCTCGTGCCGCCTGACGCAACAGTGGCTCAGTTGGTAGAGTATTGGCCTTTGAGCCTGAAGGTCGTGGGTTTGAGCCCACCATAAGACCTACTTCATGACTCCCACTAATGACTGCTGTTGTTGTGTCCTTGGGCAAGACACTTATCCCCACTTTGCCTGAAGCCCCCGCTGAAAGATCTCAGCTCCTGTGGGCTCACCACCTGCAGGAGGATCAGTGAGGGGCTGGTGCTCTGTGTACCACCTGTACCACCAGCTCTGACTACCACCCCCCTGAACCAGAACTGGATTAAGGGGAAGAAAATGGATGGATGGATGGGCATGTGCCGGCTGACGCATGCGCAGATGCGTTTTTTTTCACATTTTCCAGCCTCTGCTGCCATTTTGAATCAATCCATGAAGATCCCAATTTTTGGCCCATTAGTTAGAACAGCGGAGACAGGCGTGACTAAACAAAGACAGACACAAGAACAGCCCAAAGGAAACTTCTGTATTGTATGGAGGACCAAAACTGTCAAAATAATAAATACATGAATAATAAATAATTATGAGATTTGATAAATATATATTATTATTATACAAGCTTGTCTTGCAAAGCAATGCAAATGAAGAGACGAAAGCAATCGCCTCGTGCAGACTGCTCTCCACAGTTACTGTCTATCGTTATGATCATTTTCACGTCATGCTTTTCCACATGTTTAACTCATTGTCTGCCATTTATGAACTAATCTTTCCATTGAAAAAAAAAAAATCCTTTTTCATGACCTTTTCCTCAATGAGAGCCGAGTTCAGATCAGTCAATGGTGCAGATAGATAGACAGATAGATAAACACTAGAGACATGACAGAGCAGCAGACCTGCACTGCACCCTGCCTGAAATAGCTACAGAAACGTTGACTATCGCTAATACTATCTGACAATCGCCACAGAACTCACTGCACTAAACAAATGAAACTGTGTAGATGTAACCACACAGACACACACGTGCGCGTGCAAACCCACAAACACAGCATTATTCTATTGCTTCAGATTCACCTCTGGTTTCACCATCTGGTCCGTGGATGTATTATATCTACACGTTTGGCTGTAGGTCTACCCGACTTCAGCCTCCGTAGCACCCCAGGAAGGGCCCCTGACAGATATCCTGCTTTTCGTTTGGTTCCTTCGAAGCATCGAAGCAATCTGCTCTGAAGGGCCTCGTCCATGTTCTACGTTCCATGCTCCCAACCAAAATGTAATCACAAACGGACCAATCACAATGGACCTTCTCTGCGCTGCCGGTGGCCAGTGCCGGTTCCATCGGTCATGTGACATTAGGTGACGTCATGAGGCCCACAGCAAGCACAGTGTAGCGTGTTGCCAAAGGGCAGAAGTCATTATTGGTTTGAGAGGTTTGTTATCAAGAAATAACGATCGGTAGAACGTTTTAAATCAATGGAGCATTCTACTGCTGCTGTGAGGAGCTGTGTAATAAATCATGATTAAATATTTGAATATTTCAATTAATAATCTCTCCTCTGAACGTCTTGGACCATTGACCTGGCGTGTGCACGGAAAAGTAGCCGCGGCTTCAAGACCAATCAGACAGGAAGAAGTCCAGACTATCACTTTAAGCAATACAATAAAACGTAAAATGTGAGTAAAAGTATTATAGAACAGTAAATAATAATAACAATAATAAATGATGATACAACAAAATAATAAATGAAGTATATTTATTAAATTAATACACATTATGTAATAACTTGGAATATTAAGAAATATAGAATACTAAAAAAAATCTCATCTGAAAAGGTGTGTCGTTTGGCTTCTGTTCCAGAGACGAGTGCTGACTTTATGTCATTTTTTTTTTATTAAAAATGTATTTGAGTACGAAAATGAGCAACAATCAAATATGTTGCATTGTGAAAATTGAAAGAAACTTGCTAAATGAAATATGTCACTGTTCATGGAGACTTCCAGTTTTCACTTTCATAGAAATGATTTACAATGTGTTTCTTTTTTGGGCCCAGAAACAGAACAACAAATCTGTAATCTATTATTTTAGAGAAAATGTTGTCCAAAGTGAATAATTTCACAACCCTTAAAAGCATGAGATTTTCTAAACTACTAAAATGGCAACAAAATAAATGTCTGGGGAAGGAATTCGCACATCAACACCGACAGATCGGGTGCGTCGGAGGAGAGGCCTGTATATCATGATCATCATGTTTGCTTGATGAAGGCATAACGCCGAAAACGTCGCAATTCAAATAAATAATTTTAAATTTAAATTTAATGTAAGATGGTGTGCGGGATTCCTTCTCTCTATCACAAAATAAAAGTAAAAGGAGGATCATATACTCTGAAATATGTTCATGAAGCAGTGTGCACCTAAAACTTTAACATTTTAAAATAATCAACTCTACGTTAAAGAAATATGGCTGAAAAATATGGATGTGGGCTAGCTAGGTAATAAGAAAGTTGTTGTACATCTGCATCGCCTGCCTGGACTGGGTTAAGAGCTCAAATCTGATTTGACTCTAGGCAGGTGATTTCCTGTAGCAGAAGAAATCGTTTTCAACATTACACTTTAGGATACTGTAACGTGTTGATCTGTTCTTGTCCACCACTCCACACCGGCTGATTACTGGACACGTTTTTAAATCATCATACTGGAGTTGTTCTCCACCAACCCACACCCAGCGGTCGCCCAGGAACCTCAGTCCGATCCACACCTGCACCATAACATCGCATGAGTGACCTGCACATGAACACTGTATAAAGAAGAGACTGTACCTGGCCTGAAATCTTGCTCCTCACATATTCATGATCCTCGTCAGTTATGAGGGTGGCCAGGTCAAAGGTGCGATTTTGTGAGCTCAGGGACCTGCAGTGGACCAAAGCCTCATGCCAAGTCTTCTTCTGTTTCACCAAAACCAGTGAGTCGTCCAAACAGTAGAACTTCTGTCTGTCAGTGCATGTATCGCTCTTCCATAGACCATTATCTGATTCCCTCTTGTAGACACAGTTTTCATCTTGGTCAGGATCATCTTAATATGAAAAACAGGCAACACACCGTAACATCATTTAGAAATTAGTCTATACATCATTTGTCACAGTTAATTTGATTTGAAATTAACTTTAGACCAATGTATTTGTCACATTAAACAAGGCAACTCAAAGTACTTTCAAGACGCAAGGAACAAAAGAGGAAGTATTCATATCATACATAAATAATCATGCAACATACATAAAAAGCTAACCTTAAATTTACATGTTTTCAATAAGAAAATACTCAGATTAGAATCTTAAACTATACATTTTGACATCCTCCTGTCAATTAAAATATAGGATCTGAGAAAAACAGTGCTGTGACGGTACAGAGATCTCTATCTGTTGTACCCATATTTTATACTCTCTATTGTAGATAGAACTTATTAGGCCATTAAAGATTGTGGTATGACTTACATTATTAAAATGTTATACTTACCATCATGCCATTTGTTGTTAAATGTGTGCGGTGTGTCTCGACGGGACCATTTCCATTCTGCATCAGTGTTGTCCCGGTACATCCCGAGCCAACTGTCCAAACTGATTTGTGAATTCTCTGCTTCAGTCGTGATAGTGACCAGGTCGATGTGGTGCTGTCTGCAGTAGGCCTGAGCCTGAGGCCAAGTTAACGATTCATCAATGTATTTGATCAATTGTTGTCCGTTCACTCTCGCACAGAGCAGAGTCATCCAACAAGAGACGCAGAGGAGGAGAAGAATCATTCTTCCCATATCAGATGCAGACGCTAGACAATAATTATAGTGTCACCTTCATCAAAACAGACAAAATACAAAGATCACTGATAGGAACAGATTCTGACTTTAACGCTTCAACACCTCTTCAATTAAATATTATACTAACAACCGTAAGCTTTGATTTCTCTTGTGCTGCTGAGTGACTTACCAATCGTTGCATCCAAAGTGCAAAATGGCTAGAGTTGTATTTCCATATACATGTGGGTTGACCAATCAGAACTGTGATGACTCTTTGGCACAGGTCAGGTGAGGGAGGGAGAGGTGCTACTGATTTGCATTGTGGGTAATTAGTTACTATATAAATATCTTGTTTAAAGTAACTGTAGTGTAAGGGATTACTTTAAAAATACAACAAAACCACAGAGATGAACTTTGTTAGGTCTTAACTTTGTGTACATTTTGTTTGATAAATTTGTGTAAGCTCTCAGTCGTGCAGGGATTATTCAACACAAAGGAAGGTTGCTCACCCATCATCTGTACTTCAGTTAGCAGGTTTTACCAACATTTCACTCTTCATCCAAAGAACTTTTGGATGCAGAATGAATGGAATAGTTGTATGTTGAACGTTAAAATTATAAATGGGAAGAAAAAATGGTTGGAGAGAAGGGTGAAAGAAGCAATTTTTGCGAGGAAATGCAAACTTTCTCTTAACAGAGGAGGTGGATTAAGATGTGTTTTGCCAAGTGAGATTTTTACTCGTCGCACTATTCCATCTTTTCCATTTACTGTCTCTAGAACTCTTGCAAGTCTCCATTCGCCTCTGGGCATTAGTTCATCAATGTCCAACACAACATCACCTACTTTCAGATTCTTTTTTGAGGAATGCCACTTTTGCCTTGAAATGATGTTGAGAACATATTCCCGTCTCCAGCGGCCCCAGAACTGCTCTGCAAGAAACTGTACACGGCACCATCTCTTTTTGCCATATAGATCCTCCTTTGAGAAGGCACCAGGTGGGGGAAGCGGTGCATTGGATTTCATGTGGAGAAGATGATTAGGTGTGAGTGGTTCTAAGCTGTCAGGGCTGTTTAGATTGTCTACAGTTAGAGGTCTGCTGTTGACTACAGACATGGCTTCATAGAATAATGTCCTTAATGAAGCATCATTGAGTCTGCCATGAGAAAGGGACAGTGTAGTGTTCAGTACACTTCTGACCGTCTTTATCTGACGCTCCCAGACTCCCCCTGCATGACTGGAGTGGGGTGCATTCATTACAAAGTCACATTGTCTTTCGGACAGGTAAGTACTTAGTCTCTGGGTGTCTAGTTCTTTTAAGGCTGCCTTTAACTCATTGTGTGCACCAACAAAGTTTGTTCCCTGGTCACATTGAATTTGTCGGACTGCACCCCTGATTGAAATGAAACACCGTAATGCATTAATAAATGCATCTGTGGACAAATCCTCTAATAACTCAATGTGAACAGCACGAGAGCAAAAGCATGTAAATAACAGTCCATACCGTTTATGTTGTTTCCTTCCTTCTGTAGTCAAAAATGGACCAAAACAGTCCATGCCGCTGTGCGTGAAGGGAGGAGAGGGCTCTATGCGTTGTGCAGGTAGGTCGCTCATCCTTTGACCCTCCGGAGCTTTGCGGAGTCGGCGGCAGGTCACACACTGACGGATGAAGGAAGCAACTGTTTTACTCATTGGGGGAATCCAGTAGCTCTGAGATCTGACTTCATTTATGGTGAATCCTTTTCCTTGGTGCTTTACTTTGTCGTGACAGTGTGATATTATGAGCTTAGCTGCATAATGATCCTTTGGGATGATAATTGGGTGTTTGAAAGTGTCACTTGTTGCATGTTTAAGTCTCCCTCCCACCTTCAGGAGACCATCTTTATCCATGAAAACGTCCAGTTTAAACAGTTTATTGTGATGTGGGAGCTGCTTTCCTTTGTTTAGCAGTTTAATTTCATGTCCATATGTTTGATTTTGCACATCTTGAATGACAACAAGTTTGGCATTTTCCTGTTCATTCACTGTAGCAGGTGCATCTGATTTAATGTGCTTAGCCCTTCTTATGAGATGTGCTACAGCTTTGCTTACTTTGGACCATGACGAGAACTTAGGTAAACGTTCAGCAAGACTTGCAGTGTCTGTGACTTTTGTTAACATTGTTTGTACTTTCCTGACTTCTGGATCTCCCAGAGCCAGATGTAACTCAACAGTTTGTGGTGTGGGGAGTTCATTTTTCCACAAGAAGGCGGGGCCGGTGAACCAGCTAGACTTAATTAACTCTATGACAGTTAAACCCCTTGAAGCACTGTCAGGTGGGTTCACTTCTGATGGAACGTAAAACCATTGCTGAGGGCTAGTACTTTGTCTTATCTTTTGGACCCTGTTGGCTACAAAAGTGTGGAAACGACGTGCGTCATTGTTAATGTAGCCCAGTACCACCCTTGAATCAGTCCAGAAATATTCTTTCACATCATAACCCAGTTCTTCCCGTAGCATGTCACTGACTGAGACGGAGACTACAGCTGCTGTGAGTTCAAGTCTGGGGATTGTGACAAGTTTGGTTGGAGCAACTCGAGCCTTTGCTATTATCAGAGAGCAGTGAATCTCGTTGTTGCCGTTTTTTGCTCTAAGATAACTACATTGTCCATAACCACTTGAGCTTGCGTCTGAGAAGTGGTGCATCTCTATTTCTATAGGCTCGCCAAAATTAGCAGGCAGATAACAGCGGGGTAGGATGAGCTTTTCAAGATTTAAAAGGTCATTTTGCCAATTCTCCCACCTTGGCTTGAGAGTAGTTGGTAGGGGGTCATCCCAACCAACACCTTGTTGGCACATTTCCTGCAAGATACTCTTTCCTATCAGTACATATGGTGCTAAGAATCCCAGCGGGTCATAGATAGACGCTACGGTGGATAGAATGCCTCTGCGTGTGGCTGGCTGTATTTTCAGCGTTTTGTCGAAGTTAAAACAGTTCTCTTCAATATTCCATTGGATGCCGAGTGCTCTTTCTTGTGGCATGTCCTTGAATTCAAAATCCTTTGTGTTTCTGTTTATAGCACATTCAGAAGGAGGAATGCTTTGTAGAACAGTGGGATTGTTAGAAATAAACTTGTGGAGACAAAGGTTGCCTTTGCCGCAGATATCTCTGGCCTCCTGTGCCAACTGTATTGCTCCTTCCACTGTGCTTGTGCTAGTCACGCCATCATCAACGTAAAAATTCTTATCCATGAAGCGCGAACCGGTGGGGTGTGACTCGCAGTGTTCTTTAGCCAGGTACTTTAGTCCATAATTTGCACAGCCTGGAGATGATGCTGCACCGAAAAGGTGTACTTTCATTTTGAAGGTCTGTGGTTGCGTGCTTGTATCTCCATTTTTCCACCAGAGAAAACGTAGATAGTCCCTGTCACGTTCATCAACATGAAACTGATGGAACATCTTTTCGATATCGCACATTAATGCAATGGGATGTTGCCTGAACCTTAATAGAACACCAGTCAGATTGTTTATCAGATCTGGTCCTTGAAGGAGATGATCATTTAGACTTGTTCCATTATATTTGGCTGAACAGTCAAACACGACACAAAGTTTTGTGGGCTTTTTGGGGTGATAAATTCCATGATGGGGGATATACCATTGCTCACCTTTTGTTCCTGACTGTGCACTTCTTCAACGTCTCCTCTTTCAATTACATCGTTCATGTACGCAACATAGTCCGTTTTGTATTTGTCATCCTTGTTAAACTTTCGCTTTAGATGTTCAAGTCTGATTTCTGCAAGGCTTCTGTTTTCTGGTAAATGTGGCCTTTGTTTGAATGGAAGAGGCATCTCACAGTATCCTTGTTTGTTTTTCTTCAGTCCTTCTTTAACACTAGCAAACCCATGGAGGTGCCATTTGGCACTTCTACCTAAAAAGCCCACCACGGTGCCAAATGACTCCAAGGATTTTAGCTAACAAACTAAATCACCTGTGAACGGCCAACTTTGTTATGTAAATAAGGCCATTATCACAGGCTGAGCTGAAGTTGCTCAACCACTTTACTTTGTCTTCTTCGGGAGAGGGAGGATCTGTTTAGTTAAAATGAGTTAAATCTAGTGTCATGCTGACTTTAGTTAAAAAATAATAATGAAAATAATAAAGTGAATTGAAAGAAAACAAACGAGCAACGTCATTCAATGTATAAATTTACATTGTTTACAAAATAAATATGCTACTTACAGTTTTTCTCAGTGTCTTTGGTGCATTTATCACATAATTCTTCACATTTGCACGACAGTTAGTGCATTTATCAGAACAATTAGTACAAACTGCAAAACCTTGGGGATAACCTGTAAAAGTGCATCACCTTCTCAAAATGAAAAGTTTATTCCTCAAAAGCAAGTCTTCATGTCGAGGAAACTGTCTGTCTCAAAATAATAAGTCTTAACAACATGGAGTATGAACAACACAGTCAAATGACTTCGTCACGTTTTCATTGTGACACTTTACTCTCTGTGTTTTCAAAGCAAAAAATCTGATCTTGGTGAGCACTGTACAGCTGAAAACTACAGTCAAGTTACAAACAACTGTATTTAGTGAGAGTAAAAGAACATTTATACTGTATGTACTGTATGTGTGTGTGTGTTTGTGCATGTATGTGTTTCGATGTATGTCTGTGTACTGTATGTCTTTCACATATTTACTGCATATGCTCTTTGCAATTCTACAGCATTGTGCAACAGAAATACAGTCACATACATAGAGCAAACATACAGAATATCATTATGGTAGAACTGTGACAAATGTAAACAATAAAACACACACCTCGTCATGAGTGAAGCTGAAATTCGAAATTAGGTAAGATTTTCTGGATATAAAAATATAAAGTAATGTATGAAATTAGTTTGACAGATTTTGGTTTTGAACAGTTTTGTATGTGATGACCAAAGCGATGAAATGAGGACTACTGGTTTTACAGAAACTATTCAGTCGTGAAAAGTATGTTTCATTCTGATTGACAGGACAGAAGCAAATGTTAATGTTATAAAACAGCAGAGAACTGTATGAAAGTAACTGATACATGTCCAAAAGCATTTGTAAAGTGTTCAAAGGAGAAACTGCCGCGATGATGTCACACACGACTCAATGTTGTGGAGGTTCTACCGTAATGATTTTTTGTATGTTTTTCTACGTAAATACTGTATGTGTACTATTTTTGTTGCAGAATGCTGTAGAATTGCAAAGAGCATAAGCAGTAAATATGTGAACATACAGTACATACATATGTATCACTAAATACAGTCACAATGAAAACATGACTAAATCATTTGACTGTTGTTCATAAACACTGGTGTCAGGACTTATTCTTTTGAGACACAGACCGTTTCATTGACATGAAGACTTTCTTTTGAGGAATTAAGTTCATTTTGAGAAAGTGACTTTTTAGCAGGTTATCCATGAGGTTTTGCAGTTTGCACTCATTGTTCTGAGAAATGCACTAACTGTTGTTAAAATGTGAAGAATTATGTGAAAAATGCACCAAAGACACTGAGAAAAACTGATTACAAAATATATACAGCGCATTCTCAGGGTACACAGCACATGTGTATCTGTGGTCTCACAGACTACTGTAGTACTCTCTTGCAGCTCTCCCTCCCCCGCACGAATAAACAAAGCCCACCCCAGCCCCCTGCTGTTATAAGTCATTACCTACATTTGCAAATCAATACATGCAAATGTTAGCAGTCAACCTAGCAAGTTAGCTCCCTCTTCTCAAAACAGGGGCCAATTTCGGTTGGGTTTTCTAGTGTTAAGTGTGTCCAGAAAAATGAGATCCTCTTGTGAAACTGGTTTGTCGCTTACTATAGTGTCCTTAAAATCCGACTCAAGAACTCTGATCACATCCATTGGTGTTATTGCGGGTAGTTCCTTCAAAGTAACCCTGTGACACAGACTTGTTTCTGTTTCAATAGCCTCTGTTTTGTAGCCACCAATAATGCTCCAGCCTACATCGGTGTGGATTGCAAATGGCTCATTGTCTTTTCCGCGCAGCACCTGGTTTGGAGCTAGAGTCCTGGGGCAGTTAAAACCTATGAGTAGTCCAACATCACAGCTCAGGAGAGGAGGTACTTTATCAACAATCTCTGACAGATGGGGCCATTGCTTTGCTGTTTCGTTTGTTGGTATGTTGTCATAGTTAAATGGGATGTAGTCTTTTGTGTATGAGGGAGGAAGGTCAATTTGAACACCTGAGTTATACCCTCGCACGCGTAACCCTGACACTCTCTGACTGTTGACAGTCATGGGAACTCCCAGCATTGTGGTTAATTTCAGCTTAACAGGAAGGGAGTCTGCTTGTAAGCGGTTAGCTACATCGTCACTAACAAATGTGTTGTCACTTTGTGTGTCTAATAGAGCGTACACTAGCTGCTCTTTAGATGGACTATGGGCAGTGGAGACCCACACAGGAACAATCATGGAGGTACTACTTGATTGACCCATCTTTGTGACGTTCAGAGCTGTGGCTGCCGTAGTAACATTCTCTGTGGCTGAAGCAACATTTGTGGAGCTCTGAGGTCTTTCATTTGTCTTGTGGTTCTCATTGTGCAAACAAGTGGGGTGTCGTCCCTTGCATGTGTCACATGTGTGGCGATGACGACAGTCTTTGGCATTGTGACCCACCTTTAAGCACCCGTAGCACAGTTTATTGTCCT